GGCTGGCGCGGGAGGTGCCCGTCCTCTGCCCCGGGCTGCAGCTGAGCCGGAGCGCCGGGCTGTGCGGCGCGGTGCCGGCGCGGGAACAGATAAGCGTAACCCTGGGACGGTCGCTGTTGCCTTCCGGGCAGTGTTTTCAGCATAAATTAATCAACAGTGGTTAGCAGTTTATCAAAAGGAAGCCGGATGAGCCGTCGGCTAGTAGGAGAAGTGACTGGCTGCCCGATTACTAGCCTTTCCTTGCTGCCGCGTGCAGGAATGCATTAAAGGTGTTGATATCCCAAACGCCTTCATGAATAGAAGGATTTCAATAAGCCTTACTGCTTTCGGACACAAATCAGGACACTTGTGAGAAATGGAGACAAGTTGGGAGCGCAGAGATAGTAAGAGGCATCGATAGGCTTTCCTAATATGTGGTATAATGATGGTAGAGACCTCCCAGCTTTTTTTATTAACAGTAATCTGCCATGAAATATTGGTAAAATTAATTTACACTCAGTTCAGATTGCTAAAGTACATCTGCATTTCAATTGCTTTTTAGAAGTAATTTGCTAGCAGTATCCTAGCTTCATAGCTAGTGAAAATGAAGAATTTAAACTATATATATGTTTAAATTGTCATATATCCTATAGATAACAGGCAGAAGACAGTAGCAGCTGTGTAAAGTCATCTGGCAGCAGAAGGCTGTTCTGATGAATGAAGGCAAAAATTTGGGATATGAGACCTTAGTCTGAGACACCAACAAGAAACTTGCAGTTACAGAGCATTCCACCTCACAAACTTGAGACTCACAGCTTACCAGGTCTGATGTCCAGTGCTGGAAATGCAATGTAAGACTTCTTCGTGAACACGCACGACCTAAATAGCTGTAGAAATCAATGGTGTTCTCCTTCAAGCCTCCCAGTAAAAGTCTGCTCAGCTCTGATTTTGTGGTTTCAGGCAAATGTAACTGAAAATATTGTATAACAATTTCCATTTCTCCTTTTCTGGACTGCTCTGTACCTTGCTCTGTCTAATTCTTGTTCTCATTCTGACTGTTTTAGAAATAAGGTTGACCAAGTACTGGAACAAGATGGTATCTGTGCTCCAAAATGTCAAGGCAACAATGGCCTGGCGGAAACACCAGCTCCTAGCTGACTTTGATGAGAATGAGAGCCCCGTACCCAACGAATTCAAAAGAAGGGCTTCTCTGAGTTCTCTCAGTACCATCCGCATGTCTCTAAGGAAGCGAGCGCCATTAAAGCAAGTAGAGTTGAATTTTCATAAGACCCCAACGTGGGAAAGTCTGGAAGCAAGACAGAAGTGCCAAACTCTTCAGAGTATTAAAAGAACAGCAAAAAATGCTTTTGGAACAGTGTCCCAGGTACTTTGCCTTTGCAGTGGAGTGTGGATGGAGTTTAGTTTTTGCTTCAACTTCAGTACTAAGATTTCTGGAGTCTGTACAGAATGCTGTATTCCAGAGGGTTTATCCCACACCCTTGCGCACCATAATGGTTGTCTCATAGCTACTAACTAGTAAAATCTTTAATATCCCTGCTAAAGTACAGACAGGCAAATTATGGATCTGGCAGAATAGAGAGGAAGGTGCAAAGAAGAAACACGAGATGTAGTTCCATCGAAACTTTTATTTTGTTACTAAATAAATGCTTTTCCCCTACTGTATTTCCTCATGTATGGCAGAGCAGCCTTTACGAGGAGGAAGGTGGGTAAAAGACTGCCATTGCTTGCAAAAATTTTTTTCTGATAAATGTGTAGCACTTTGGATTTTTTTTTTCACTCCTTTTCCTGTACCCATATTATTTATTAGCATGTTCTTCATTATAGTCAATCTAAATTTGGACTGACAAAAACTGCTGGATGGTAGCAGGGTAGCAAACTCAAGCTTGCACTTCCCTTTGGAGGAGACCTCTGATTTTAACAACATCAATTATATGTTAGGGAGCCTGGGTCTTTCCTGTGTAAGAGCAGCAGGAGCTCTGTTCCAACGCCTGCTGAAGTCCTTGACAAGTTCCAAGGATTGAGGGAGCAAATGACTCCTCCAATGCAAATGGGTACAGGGGGTTGAGAAGCACTCATGCTAGACTAAACCCGATATGAGAATGAAAGCTAGGGATTCAGCTCAGATGTTCCTTGTCTTTCTGGTTCCAAACTCTAGGCTAATTGAGTTCATTTAGCATGAATGCTTCTTTCAGAAAATACAGAAGTCTTGCCAAAGCCCAGAAGACCTGATGGTGACCTTTCCAGCTGAATCCATCAGCAGAAGCTGTGCAACCAGTTCTACCAAGAAAACAAGTACTACACCTCGAACTGCTTGCCCTAAGAAGAGCATTACTCCAGCAGCCAGTTCCAAAAGCACCCCAGGATCCAGCAAAAGAGCCTTGCTTGGGCCACCAAGGGTGTCAGAACACAGAAAATGGAGGGGTTTCTCATCCTGGCTTGGTAAAGATGCTGTCTCTCTCCGGAGATCAAGAAGAGCAGCAGCACTGAAGAGCCCTTATTCATCACCTGTTCCTGCCAGCAGAAAGATGTAAGCCCCATTCTTCTGTAAACATTATTCCTTTCTTTTTTAATTACTGTGATTAGAGTATCTTGTAAGGTGAAAGGCAAGATATGAAGGTTGCTATCCTATTCCCCTGAAAGGGTGTGCTCTTTGAACAGTTAAGAGAGTAGTTACAGGTCCCTGTATAGACAGGGACTGAGCACTGCATAAAGCTGAAACATGAAACTTAATTTTGTGCTGTGACAAGAACTTTTTAAAAGTCACTCTCCCACTGAGTAAGTTTATACCATGTTTCTCAGCACCAGTCCCCATCAGATACTAGAGACATACACAAGTTTCTTGCTGATGCCCTTCTGGTAAAGAAAAATGCTTCCAAATGCATCTCACTCCTACTTAGCTCTTAACTTTTCCAAAGTTGCTATTTGTATAGCAAAGATACCTGGAATTGCCTCGCTTATGCTGAGCTCTTTATAAAGAGTAGATAGATTCTTGCCTTGAAGATTTAACACAAATTAGATAAAGGGTTGTGAGATAGGGAAATACTTCATAATGTGCACATAGGTTTTTGTTTCGGTCAAAGTCACATGAGAAATGTCAAGCTAGAAGCTGAATCCAAGCCTCATGAATCTGAACCCAGTGTTTGAATTAGAAGATAGCTGTCTTTGGCATGAATGGAGATGTGAAGCAATTGGGTCACTGGAATTAAAAGCATGATTGCTACAGCCCTAAACTTCTCTGGATAAAGTCTGGAGGTAACTAGATTTGTTACTGCAGGGATAGAGGCTTGGGTAATGTCACCTAGTCAGTCTGTCCCGTTTGATCTTTAGTAACGACCATTCTCTTTGCAGAGAGCTTGACTGTGAGTTGGAGCTGGTCTCATCAGGAATTTGTCAATTGAAGCGTATCTCCCAGGCATTTGATGATGCCATTGTGCAAGAGGAAAGGTAAATACCACTAACTCTCCCTCCACTTTCAGCAACAGGTTGCCTCTGTTGTGGCTTAACCCCAGCTGGCAACTAAGCACCACACAGCCACTTGCTCACTCCCCCTGCCCAGTGGGATGGGGGAAAGAATCGGGGAAAAAAAATAGAAGACATGGGCTGAGATAAAGACAGTTTAATAGGACGGTAAAGGAAGAAAATAATAATAATGGTAATAATAATAAAATAATATACAAAACAAGTGATGCACAATGCAATTGCTCACTACTTGCTGATCGATGCCCAGTTAGTTCCTAAGCAGCAATTCCACACACACACCCCCCCCGCCCCCCAAGTCAACTCCCCCCAGCTTATATACTGGGCATGATGTCACATGGTATGGAATACCCTGTTGGCCAGTTTGGGTCAGCTGTCCTGGCTGTGTCTCCTCCCAAGTTCTTGTGCCCCTCCAGCCTTCTTGCTGGCTGGGCATGAGAAGCTGAAAAATCCTTGACTTAGTGCAAACGCTACTTAGCAACAACTGAAAACATCAGTGTGTTAACATTCTTCTCATACTAAATCCAAAACACAACACTATACCAGCTACTAGGAAGAAAATGAACTTGAAACCAGGACAACCTCCCACTTGGACATTACCAATTGCAGGCTAAGTGATCCTTGTAGCTCAGGATCAGGAATAGTTGCAGAACTTTATCAGATGTAGTGTAGCAGAGCCCTTCTTTCTTCAAGATACCTGTGCAGATTAAATCTGCAATTGGACTTGCAGCTCCTAAAACCTGTCAGATGCTCTCCTTGTCTTCAGGTTTCTTGCTGTGGAAGTCAGGTTTTTCCCAGCAAGAGCCTACCTTTGATCTTGTGTGAGAGCAGTACCTCCTTGCCCTGTCTAAAAGAGGTGCCAGTCCAGGTTGGGGGGAGGCAGGGAATGGGGGGATCCCCATTGCATTGACACTGTCATTGGTACCTGCACATTTCTAAGAAAATCCTTTTATTAGGTACCATTACATTAACAAATAGTCCATGGTACCCATAACTCAAAAACTTAGAGGATGCAGACATGTCTTATACAACACCTTGGTTAATCCATGAGGTGGTAGGCTTCTGTGTTTGTAAAGGTTATGTCATTCTGAGTTAGACATATTAAGACAGTAGAACTAAAGGTCAGAAGTCTTGCCACAGGGCAATTCCCTAAATGTCCTCCTCTCTTAGAACACATGATGATTCTATGTCAAGTAATTAAATGTCCAGCACCTAAAATCCTTGAGAGAGGGCTTAGCATTAAGTACTTTTATCTAGAAAAAGGTAAGGGCTTAAAGTCCTATGTGTTTCCAAAAATTCAGTTTTTACCAATGGGACCATTTCTAGGTAACTATAGGTTAAATCTTGTATTAAGTTAATGATCATATCCATTGAAAGTTCACTACATCTCACTCCTAATATTCTCCCATCTGTTAGTGATATGACAGTTTCTCTCATTCGTAACTGAAGATAGTATCAACCAGGTAAAGTAGTTGTTCACTTACCTTGTCTATACCTGCATGCACCTCTGGGGAGAAAACCTGCTGTTTGGAGACAGAAAGGCTTATTAACTCATGCTTCTTTAAAGTATTACTATGCGGAACCACAGGGTTCTTCCCACATATCCACTGTGGCTGTCTCTGCTACAGCAGATCATTGTGCAGTTGTAAAACTTCACCTCTACATTGTGGATTAGTGAGACCTTGTGGGTTCGCAATGAACTGTAAGTTGGGCTTCTATGCAAACAGCAGCTTTTCTCACCCCAGACCAGAAAACTACTGGTACTAATGTCTTTGTCACTCGCCCTCAGTTCTCACTGATTACTAATGAAGATCACAAAGCATGACAGAACAAACTACTACCCTGAGCTGCCTAATTTTACAGCCTTTCTTTTCCATCCCTAGCATTGTCTTAGCAGTTAAGATGATGCTATCACAATAACAGCAGTTGATACCTGTATTGCTGGCATTTTTAAACACAGCAATTGTACCTAAATTCTTTGCTGTAAGTTTCTAAACATCACTTCCAGTGTCAATTCATTGAACCATAGAGGTTCAATGCCTCTATTACCTTCACTGAGATCTGTATTGTGACATTAATATCTTCAGCTATTGAGCTGGAAGTGTTCCTTTTGTTAAAGTTACACCCTGAACACTATGTCCTATTTTAGCAACAAAGACAGGTATAAGACATTGATTGCTGTAACTTTTCAGGAAAAGAGAGCAGTTTCAAATGCTTGACTGAAGCTTTAAACAGTGATGTGTACTGCTTCCACTGAGCAATTTGGTCCAGTTCTCCTGCCTGCTCTGTCAGTGGCTCTTTTTTAGGTTGCCTACTGGAATAATTGTGAAATAAACTTTTTTGGAGGTGCCCTTACAGTCTTGCATATGACTTTCTGTCCTGGTATCCAATTACCATGAGTTTTAGTCTTACAGCTCCCTCTTCATCTTTTCCGTGACGAAACAAACCTTGATCTCAAACTGCTTGTAGTTGCCAGCTCCATGCATTGTTCTAATTTTTTTCATTTTAATGAATTAGATTATATCACAAGAAATGCTCCTGTTGCTAGTTAAAGTGTTGCAGTACTTAATTTGTGTACTGCCATTTATGCTCACTGAAGGTAACAAAATATTTTCTTGCTAGTGTTCACAACTGTTATACAGTGAAAGTATACAGGTCCCAGACCTCCTCCTTGCTCCCATCTAACAGTTTTCCAGCAATTTGTGTGACAACTGGTTAATTAACCTTACTGACTTCACGCTGCTAATGGCAGTCTTGTTCTTCTGCAGGCAACATGCAATATCAAACTACTACTATCTAATGGCACAAAACTTACAGTCTGCGCGTCGATCTCAGAAACTTTTTCAAGCTATCCGAAGGCGAACAAAGAAACTCCATCAAGCACTTGGTACCTAGACAGAGATGGCTGTAACTGTTGTTAGTTTATGAGCATAGATAAAGGAGAGCTCTGTGTAGCACGTGAAAGGGTGCACTCTATACATTGAACAAGCCATTCCATTTTATAATCTTTCTTGACAAAGCAGCTCAGGACTTCCCTTCCCTTGCTTTCTCTTTGTAAGTGAACAGGAGAATCAAAATTATACCACAGTGTATTATCTCCTGCTGAGACAAGGGACCATCTTGAATGTGACTTTTATAAGGCAGTAAGTACTTTGAAACTTATGTTGAACTGACCAATAGGAATGGCCAGAGCAAGGGCCACAGACTTATGAAGGGTGATCATAGGTAATAGTAGTATTTAGAGTGGTATCCAATTGCCACGGGTTTTAGTACAAGTACTTTGCATACGAAAACTACTGGTCCATTATTCTGAAAGCCTAACTATTTTTTTTCTATATACAAACAAACCAAAAGTTAAGCATCATGTTTAACTGGAAGTTAATGAAACAGTAGTGGCTTGTTTGAGTTCTGACCACAACTGCCATTCCAAGGCAACAGGTTTCTGTGGAGTCACTCACACCACAACAGAGGACCCACATTAGGACTCTAATTCATGGCCTTAAGGATTGCTATTAGATTAGCCTAACTGATCCTGTGTTAAGTAATTGGGCTCCAGGCAAATCAGAGCAACTTTATGTCATTTCTTGCTGCTGCTTTAAATAGCATCTTGGCAGTTGAGTTAAACATTGCTTTTGTACTACAATATCTGTCTTTTAGTTATACACAGAAATTGGTTACTACAATTATTGTAACCTCTTATAACTACTGTTATTAGCTAGTATCACAGTGCAGGTATTTTATTTGAAGAAGTATACTAAGTGTTTGATACCTGTATTTTGCCTCTAATTACTTTTTTAAAAAAAGTAGTGTTCATTTGATAAGCCTTTTTTGGTAGGTGATTCAGTTTAACAAAGTTTAGTCTCAAACTAAAGCACAGATTTCTCAAGCTCTAGAATTCACCAGGGCTGTTTTCCATGGCAGCAGCTTTGTACAGGCTTCTCAGATTACATTCACTCTAAGATGAACCTTCAAACAAGACTGATTTGGGAAACTTTGTTCTCCTTGATAATTTTTAAGATGCACATGTAATTTAGTAAAAGTGGAACTAACTAAAATGTTAGTGGTATTAAGTATAAATATGGGAAGCAGTCGTGTTCAAGTCTGATTCATGTGTAAGTAGTGATTTTAAACTTGCTCCCGATTTTTTTCTTTTTTTCTTGTCAAACTAGATTGTTTTAAAATATTGAAACAGTTAATGAGGCCTGGAAACATGAAAACAACGACGACTTCCAGGCTTTCATATGACTGAGAGTTTTAGCTTGTGTTATTTCTTGATGTAGTTTTTGTGTGTGTGTTTTGTTGTGGTTTTGCTTTTTTTTTTAAACCACCTTTCTATATGGAACAGTAGCTTGAAGTTATTCTTTGTATGTACTGAAACTAATTCTATAAAGCTTTCACAAAGATGGTGTCTCATTACTGAAAAATTCTTATATGACTCTTCAAAAGAAAGAAGGGTTGGAGTTTCGTGAAAAGTCAACCTCTGATCTAATTATCATTCCAGATAGTCAGATGTATTAAACAGCCTCTCTTTATACTGTTTCTGCTGGCTACTAGGACATGTACAATGATGATCTAATACTTCCTCTAACACTTCTAAGAAAAATCAGTGACACTGTTTGTTTGCTTAAAGGCAAAGAAGGTTTTATTTAAGTGACTAATCTGCTATAAGATTTTAAAAACCAGCTCACATCAAAATCTATACCAGTTGTAGAAATCTTACTCCTTATTTCATATTAAGAAATTCATTATTGTACATTTTTGAATCTTTACAAGGCAGCCATAAGAAATATAAACATTTGTCACCAGATAGAACCTTCTCACTGACAAATAATGTTTAAAAGTATGCACTTAATAAAACTGTAGACTGAAAGAACATGTACAATTTCAAGTTTCCTTGTATGAATTCAGTTCTAAGTGGACTGCCCCCTTCCCTCCCTCACAAATAAAAAAATAAATTTTATGCAGAAGGCTTGGGGTTCTGCAAGAGGACTGCCATTCTGGGCCCTACACCAGTCCTCCCAGAATAACCTTATCTTTAAAGCTTGCAATCCGTAAATTATGTTTCAATGCTGTAATCTCTGGTATACCATCTCCCAGCATGTCCCAGTAAACCAGCCTCTCTCTCTCTCTTCCCCCCATAAGTTCTGTACATCCTTACACATGAGAAATGAACTGTTAAATTTGTTTCATGTTCTCCCATCCCCCACAGTTATATCCAGTTTCAAAGGTAGCTTATTGAGATAAATACAAATAGAGGGTAAAATGTAATCCCCTTACCTTGGGCTTGAACTAAAATGAGGGAAAGAGGAAATACCAACACCTGACTTCAATTCCAGAGTCCATGGCACAGGATTCTAGCTGCTCCAGGCCCTTTCTTATTTCTGAAAAAAAGAGCTCTTTTCATCCCCAAAAAATGTGTTATTACCTCCATTTTTCACGGGGGACTGAATTTAGGATCATCTGTAGGAACCTGTATTTACACTGAGTGATTAAAGATCATGGAAGTCAAATTACCTTGTTACACCCACAATTTCTGCTGAAGCTATGAACACGGACCATGAGGAATCATTGCTCTTAGAGAAGCTGAGGAGGTTAAGTTGGAAAATTTTGTGTTTATAGGAATTCTATCCTGTACCAGCTCCAGATGAGGATGGAAAGTGCCACTTTCTCCCCTGCATGCCTGAAATGAACAATTCAATGCAGAAATCTTGAGTTCAGATCCCACATTTCAAGCTCTAATCAGAAAAATGATGAAATTGCAGTGTAAAATCTTGTCTCCATTATTAAGCCAGTCAGCTTATTAAAAAGGTGCCCATACTCCAATCATCTAGTACTTTTATGATGTACTCACCTTTTCGGTGGCTTAGATGCAAGAGGGGGGAAAAAAACCTGTGGAAAATCCTATTTGTCCAGTAACAATTGTTGCACTTGCTTACAAATTTTAAAAACAGAAAATACCTACTGATTTCACGTATTATTAAAAATGCTTATAAACAAACTTTTTAGCAATTTTAAGACAGGAAACTATAGAAAGATGGAAATACTTTTTTTCCCTTCTAAATTTATTCTGTGAAGTACATGATGATACTATAAATCTAAGTATTGGGAATTTGCTTAAATACACACATTAGTAGTGCCCTGACCTAAAGACTCCAATATATAAATGGTACAACATAATGGCAAACAAAGGCTATTTTGCAGAATAGTGGAGCTTCCAGTTAAAGTGTCATTGTTCTGCTTATTTTAATAGTAGATTAAGGTGTGTCTTTTTTTTTTTTCTCTAGTTTACTGATAATTCCACTTCTACATAACCAGTAAAAGTTTTAACTCTGTTTAGAAGCAACTTCCCTAGGTACTAGAGGAACAGGTGAAGTAATTTCTAAGAATTAAGACTCTTATTTTCATGTAAACAAATCAAAATGGCAGCTCTCAGGAACCCCAATGAACAAGAAGGAATTACCAATGCCATGTCATTTTTACACCTAACAAAATTTTATGCTGAATAGATATAAACCATGCCACAAAACTAAACAGGAGTACTTTGGTCAAGCAAGAATCTGTTCCAAGAGCACTAGTGTATGCAAACACTGTAATAAAAAAAAAGGTTATTCAAAATAAGCATATTTGGATCAACATCACTATTCAGGTCTGTGGAATATTCTGCACTCTTTACACAATGATATCTTTTTTCAAACTTGGCTAACTAGACAACAAAAACAAATAAACAGCCATTGTTGTAGGGTTTTTTTAAGTATATTGGTTAGAAATTTGCTGTGAAAGCAGAACCAAAACTTCACTTAAGGTGTCTTCCAGTAGCTACACACACATACACACACACACAAAACCAAAACACTACAGTTGTGAAGGTGTGTTTTCACAATATCTCAGATAAATCTACCACTGCTATTAATCACAGCCATTTTTTTACAGTAATTTTAAACTGGACCCATATCAACAGGGCAAAGAAGTAAATGCTTCCAACTGTGGCCTACTTTGCACTGACTTGTACTGCTGCCTTAGCACCCACTGGAATAACAGGTTTGTGTTTTACAGTTTCACTTATGCTTCCTCCATTCAGCAGGTTAAAAGAATGTGCTTTTCTGTAACAGACTGGAGGCACTAAAGGTGCTGAAACGGCTGAGGAGTCTAACGTGTTCCTTGGGCACCCACCATTCCCACCTGACTTCTCTGTCCCTTTTCCCTTCTGTGTATGCTTTAACACTTCCATAGCCTATAAATTTTTAAGTGCAGACTGCAGAGACTGCAGCAATGAGGACCTGCAATCAGAGAATAAGACTGTAGGATCAAGCCTATCCTCAGCAAATGGCCTGCTTAGGAAGACTGATAATCCCATGAAAGCGCAAGTAAAACTGAAATCAAATAGCAAACTGAATGCCCATGAACCACTGTGCGTAGTTTCACGTGGAAAAAGTGCATAACTAAAATTCTGACCGGAAGGAAATGTTTTAAGAGAAAACACGACTGAAAAATTATGCTATAAAACTAGTGATTCATCAGGCAAACCTCACGGATCGCCCCAAGCATAGCTGGGGGAAAAAAAAGCTAGCGGTTCAACATGCATAAGGTCCCCAGCCACTGCCACAGTATTTTTTGAACTGCCTGCCAGCCTAGTTGTGAGATGTCTAAAATCACACTCATCTTGTTCATACTCTCAGCTCCAGCTGAGAAGTTGTTTTACCCTTTTAGCGGCAACTGGCTAGTGCTTTCAAAACAAATGCATCTGGCATCTGATGTTTCAAAAGATCAGCTCCTAATTAACATGAAGCCTTAACCTCCAAGCTAATGCCTATATCACTGTTTGCCAAAGCGCTCAGCTGGAGGCATGTGATCAGGAGATAAACCATTCCATCCCTGAGCAATAAGTAGTGTTGGAATTATGCAAAGGCCACATGAACTCCCATATATTCTAGGAAACGAAGTTAGGGAAAATGTTTTCAGCTTGATTTCAATACCATGTGTAGACACTTTGAAATTGTTACCACTCTAAATCATGCACGCACACTAGCATTTGTTTTACTACTATTAGCTCATAATATTCTTAAGAGAAGCCAGCACAGTGACTACCGTGAAAATGACCCAGTTATTAATAGAAATACACAAAATCAGAATTTTCATTACAAGGTACCCTGCAAAATGTCATTGTGTCTGCAAGAGTAAAAGACAGACCTTAACAACCTAGATTTCTCTAGCCTTGTGCTCAGACACTAGTTCCTTTAATACCATCACAGAATTACACATGATCCCTCTTTTGAAATGAAGTAGGCCTTTCTACTACAGCAACTTAAAATGAAAAATAGATTTTGGAGTCTCTTGGATGATAGAGGTAGATGGCTAAAGCAACATTAGCTTTGAACTTTGCAGCAGGAACAGTGACTGCTATCAGGAGACATGCTACACAACACCTGGTGCTTAAAAAGAACTTTGCAATCAATGTTGCTTTTAGGT